AGTGATCCTGTTATCAGCGTGGTCCCGTTAGCAGAGTGATCCTGTTAGCAGCGTGGTCCCGTTAGCAGCGTGGTCCTGTTAGCAGCGTGGTCCCGTTAGCAGAGTGGTCCTGTTAGCAGAGTGGTCCCGTTATCAGCTTGGTCCCGTTAGCAGCATGATGATAATAACGACCGCAGCAACGGACGATGACTGCCCTCCAGAACCAGGTACGGCAGAAAGAACATTCAAAGTTCCCCACGGAACCGAACGGGTCCGTAGAGTTTGGTCCATGCAGGCAGATGGAGGATCATGGAGACGGCTGCCATGACGGGCCGGAGCCTGAACCCGAGGCGGGAAAGGGGCCGAGAACTAAACCACAATGTCGAGGCAGCGACACACAAAAAGTTGAACCGGCGACCTTCTGGTCACAGGCCCACCTTCTTTAACCTCTGCACCACCACTCTCCCACATGTATTTCTTAAAAGTGTAGTTTCCTCAAGTGATGGAGGTGGATTAGAGATAACAGCTAGTCCACCTGCAGCTTAGAATTAGGAGTTACGTCCGTCAGAAATGTCTAAGTATTGTTACCATCAAAGCTACAACAGTGTAAAATTAACATCTTTCATATGCAGCTCTGAAATCTTTGAATGGTTTTAATCTGAAGCGCTCTTTGGCCTGAGGCCTCGTTCAGATCTGTTGTTTAATTCCATCTGGATCGATCAGATTATACATTCAGATTGTGCTGAATAAAAGTCTGAATGGCCTCAATTTTTCAATCTGAGGTCCTTCAAGAAGCTATCTACGAGTAAAATATTAAATAAACCTCATCGTGGACTGACTCTTTAAGATCAGATAATCCAGATTATGTGTTTCAGTCTGTGTGAGGTGCGGGCGTGTAACGGCTCCTTCCTGCTGCAGGTTCAGTCCTCTGTGGCCGTGGGCACTCCGGACTACATTTCCCCAGAGATCCTGCAGGCGATGGAGGACGGGATGGGTCGCTACGGCCCGGAGTGCGACTGGTGGTCTCTGGGGGTCTGCATGTACGAGATGCTGTACGGAGAGACGCCGTTTTACGCCGAGTCTTTGGTGGAAACCTACGGAAAGATCATGAACCACGAGGTCAGAAACACACGAGTTCTCTGTGAATTCTGTCAGTAATCGCTTAGGAGTGTTTCAAGTAATCGGATTACTTCTTAAAAGGAGTCCTGGTGTTTTCAGGTTACAGGTTTGTCTCCAGACTCTCGTCCTACTTCCTTTTTTCTAAATCTGAACGTGTCCCTCAGTGGACGGACGCCTCACTCTGCTCTCCATTTCTGTCTCGTGATTGCACCCCCAGTCCCCCCCTCCCGTCTAAATCCTCCTTGTCTTTGTTCCAGGACCGTTTTCAGTTCCCCTCCCATGTGACTGACGTCTCGGAAGACGCCAAGGATTTGATCCAACGCCTGCTCTGCTCCAGGGAACGTCGGCTCGGACTCAACGGGATCTCAGACTTCAAGAGCCACCCGTTCTTCAACGGGATCGACTGGGACAACATCCGGTCCTTGGAGGCCCCCTACATTCCCGATGTGTCGTCTCCCACCGACACCTCCAACTTCGATGTGGACGATGACGTGCTGAAGAACCCGGTGAGAACCGGACCTGGGGCAGGAAGCAGAACCTGAGCAGATTTGTGTTGACCCTTTTTATTTTTCAGGACATCGCTCCTCCAGTGTCTCACACCGGCTTCACGGGGCAGCACCTCCCCTTCGTTGGCTTCACCTTCACCACCGAGAGCTGCTTCTCTGACCGCTGCTCCTTCAGCCGGGTGGCGCCGGAGGTCCGGCAGAAGGACGGGGTAGACGGGGGGCAGGACGTGGAGGCATTTGAGAACAGGATCCGCCGCCTAGAGCAGGAGAAACAGGAGCTGAACCGCAAACTGCAAGGTGAGCCAGACTTCAGGCCGTCTAATCCTGCAGTGGGTTTCTGCAGAACTCCTTCCTGAGCTCACCTTTGTCCCTCCAGAGTCCACCCAGGCCCTGCAGACTCCAGCTCGAGGAGGAACTCTGACTCGAGACAAGGAGATCAAGAAGCTGAACGAGGAGATCGAACGGCTCAAGAAGAAGCTGGCAGGTCGGTTTCAGCAGCGTCAGTCATCTGACTTCTTAGAGCGTAGTTCGTGACGCTTGGGTCAAAATGCATGTCCAAACGGGTACCTCCATCTTATTAATCAATAAGATTATCACTAACCTCCATCTTATTAATCAATAAGATTATCACTTACCTCCATCTTAT